CCAAAAAGACGGCCATATATTTATACTCGGCAACGAGAAAGGCGGTGGCGCCATCGGAAATACGGCTATAAATAACATACACGTTACGCATTACCTCATCCGTGAGGTAGGTGTTTCGCATGCCTTGATCCTTCCCGGGGGAAACCTGGATGTCGGAGAGGACATACCACCAGTACATCGCAAAAGCGAACCCGAGAGCGGCCGAAAAGACGACTACAAACGAGGTCACGTGCGCAGACATGGTAAAGTAGCTCGTATAGGGGTACGTGGGGAGGATCCCACCATCATTCGAATCTGTTATGCTTACCTCCGCCGAGGACACCATGCTGTTTTGGACAAGCAGAACGCCCAAAAGGGCAATTAAGGGCTTTCTCAACAGCATCATTATTACTTCAGTTTTTTTGCCCCTTTATAGGACTAAAGTTTGGGGTTATTTCTCAGTATGTGGGTACGCTTCGATAATGCGTTGCCTGTATCTTTGCGATGTGATTTCCACGTTCTGATTCGTCTTCTCTGAAGTATTTTCGCTAAAATAGAAATGTATAAAAATGTAAAAACGTTCACTATCCCCCTTACAGTACGATAAGAAAGCAATATGAAAAGGAGGAATCAAATATAGAGAGAATATGCACTTCGAACGATTAGAGAGTCCAAAAAGGGCACCAGAAAGGACGCACGCACATTCTCTTATGAACATTGCATGTACAAACATAACACTAAGCATTTCATGATCAAGCCGAGCAGGGTTAAATAACATAATCCGGCTTGCAATTGCGAAAGCCAGAAATCGTTGCGCCGATAGTGTGCGGTGAAGAATTACCACACACAAGCCTATATACCCTTAAGCTTTCAAATGCATCAATAAAGAATAACAATAAGTTACCAGCTGTTTTAAGTTCAATATATGAATTAGTACAGCAGAGCCTATTTAAAAAGTACTTGCGTTCACAAACAAATGGGTGTTTCTTACAGACATAGGGGGGAGAAATCTATGTGCGCACACATGCATGAATTATCATTTGACGAATTCTATACATACTTTTTACATAGCAGACTTTTCAACGGTATCAATAATCGATTTAATAAGTTGTCGTGGTATCGTTGTGCCCTCCAAGCGAATTGTCGTGATGTTAGGCCTTTTGATACACAAATCCAGTATTACCTGACCACTTGTGCGAGAAATCGGGTTGTAGGAAAGGTCCAGGTGCGTCAGAGCATCACCAGCTGAAGTGTTGAAGAGCACGTTTACTATCTCCATTACTTGCATGTTCTCTAAGTTATTGTGGCTAAGCCGAAGCGTGCGCAAGGCATCGCCATTGTACTTAATAACTTCCAAAAGTGGAATAACACCTTTCGAGCCCACGTAGTTCGCGGATAGGTCGAGGCTCGTAAGTCGTTTGAAGGGCTCCGCGGGGAGGAGGTAGAGGAGGCCAGTATTAGGCCGCATCTTGTGCTCCAGACAGGCCTGCTGGTAGACCTCCCGAAGCGAGGTGCTCGCAGATGGTGCGTTCACCGCAACTGACTGGACGTTTCCGTGTCCCAAGTCCAGAGGCTTCGACTCCTTCATAGGGTTAAAGTTAAAGATAAGCGTCTTCGCCGTAACTGGGGGAATCTGCGCATGGGTAGCCCGCTCAGTGAGAACAGGAGGGATCGCAGCCTTCAAGGAGACGTTCCTGCTCCCCAATCGTCGTGCCCACCCCGCCACCGCGTGTTCGGCTGGTTCCACGGCGGCAGTGGCGGCAGTTGCACTGCTTTGATCAGGCGCTAGCGTTGGTGCATCGCCTTTGAGCGTTCTCGGTACACCTCCTGCATTGTTGCTATCCTCACGCGAGGCACTGTCCGACGATGTGTGATTGCCCCAGCGTATGGCCGCGTCGCGATTCACGGGACGTCTCTTGGAGGATTCCACGTAAGAAGGTATAGCGTTCGTCTGAAGAGGCCGCTGTTGGCCCCTTTTCCAGGGTTGTGCAGCGTCTTGTTGGCTCATTAGAGGTAGCGAAAACGTATTCTTCATTGGTATCGACATTTTGAATTGCTGCTCTGCGAAATTTGACTGGTGTGCAGTGGTAGAAGGCACATACTCGACTAGCGGAGGATGGTCCCTTACAGGAGAAGCACCGATGATCTTGGAAGCTGCGCTGGGTTCTAATTCCCTTCGACCCATTACCTTAGCCTCTTTCGAAGCCGCGGGAGAGGCTACAGAATGTGCCGGACTGAGCATTGTGTGATGGGCTTGCGCCTTGGAGAGCTTCCAGGTGGGGGGGCGCTTTGTTGCAGGCTCATTGAATGTGGATTCTGAAGGTGACCCGATGCTACGCTCATCACTGATAGTCACGTCAGACGCGTTACGATGGAGTTGTGATAATATGGCGATAGAAGCCTCCGCCTTCTCCGCACTAATCATAGGAAATCCACTGGTGCGTGCTAGCGGCGATGCTGCATCCCTGAGGCACTGCTCGACTCTACCTAGGCGTTGAGCGTAGCCGATACCACCAGAAATCCCAACGACACCACGGATAATCTGATGGCGAATGCTGCAGAGGGACTGGAAGGATGCGTCCTGTTCCATCCGAGGTTGTAGGTTACATAACAGAATGCCGTTCACGCGGTAGGGTAGAAAGGGCATTTCAGCTTGTATGGAAAGCGTCCGCGCACGCAGGTCGCATGCTATGGATCTCAACAATTCCAGCAACGTCTGTTCGGTGTGCTTGCCGCTCGAATGTGTGGGGGATATTTCTTGCTTGCTGGATTCACTACGCTTGGTACTGAGTCGATTAAGCACCGAGATGACTATTGGATACTTTTGAATGTCCTCGTGGAGGTCTTGCAGATAGATGCCAGGCAGTATCTCTTCTGAGAGAGTCGGGCATATCTCTAAAGCAGCTTTCCACAGCGGATTTAACAAAACTGACTCATGAGATAATGAGTTATTCAGTAATTCTGAGGTTACAATGGGGATTGTCCGTGTAGCCTGATTAACAGATGTGGTCGAGGACAGTTTTCCGTTCTCATTCGGGCCGCTCCTTTCGTCTTGAAATGATTCCTTTACGGGAATCGCGGATGTAAAGCGCTTGTTTGACAATTCAATCAACTTTGAAAACTCTTCCGGCTTGATATGGGGGAGCGGGGCTCCAGAAACTGGACGAGAGGGCGGCACACGCGTACTCCGCGAGGTAGTACTTCGCGTCGATGCACTACCCGTGTGATTTTTAACACCCGAAAGTGTTGGCAACGATTCGTGGGATCCTAATGGTGACAATAAAAGCTTCTGTTTAACGGATTTATTAGGTTCAACCTGAAAATCATTTCGCCGAAAATTTTGTAAAGACACAACGTCGTGCCTAGGAGAAGTGCCAAATGGTATCCGCTCCACTGCAGGTGACCGCCTGTTTGATGAATTGAAGCAGAACAGGGGTCGCTTCACTACAGATGACTCCATTCGCGGTGCAATCGGTCGATCCTGATAGAAATTCTTACGTAGCTCCTCGGCCATGCGCCCACCCCCAGCGTCGTGACACATGCTATCCCAACGATCGGCGGGGATGGATGCCAGCTGAAGGTCCCCTGTCAGATTCACGGAGGCGCCGTATACTGCCTTCGGTTGCTTTTCATTCGGCACATTGCCTTTACTATTGCTTCCAGTTCGGAAATATGCGTGATATCTGTCCTGGCGTTGGGCGTGTAGCTTAGCGATTAACTGGCGCTGGAAATCAGCTAAGTCAAGCCGAATGGGTGCGGCATAGGGGAAAAACGTGTTTGGATCACCATTGCTTGCCCCAGTGAGCAACGGAAATGCATACTGCACCTGATACAAGGCCATATCTCCATCCCCATCGCAGCTATCCGGTTTTAGGATGTCAAACACCGCACCGACGGCGGCACGGCCCGTACTAGGAGACGGTTTTGCAAGTTGCCGATGCAGGCCCGCCTGAACTTCATCCCATGCTTTTCGTAGCATGTTTAACACCCTCTCAGAGGCCTCCCCAAGTCCAGAAAGAGGGGCACTAAAGTTCACTGATAAATGAGACTCCGAGCGTTGAGGTTGCCATGCGGTTGGTTGCTCCTTGCCTTTCAACAAGAAGGGCAGCAGCTCCTCCTTAAGACAGCTTCCGAGTGTCCCGACAAAGGACTCATTAGAGCGCATCGTCCTAACATTCAGCTGATTCTGAGCGTAGAGAAGCCCATATTTCGCCCGTGCGACGGGCATATCCGTGACACAAAGCGGGGAGACCACGAATAGCGGTGGTGCATAAAGATGTGTAGGGAGGGAGTGAACTAAACTTTTTCGCTGCGCTGAATCGCCCCTCAGTACGCACTGAAGCCGCTTTAAGAACGTGAGCATGACATGCAACCTCAGCTGAGAAAGGGTCTCGGAAACGCGCTTCTCCCATCCACTCTTGGCCGCTGAACGCTCCTCTGGGAAGTGGTGTGAGAGAAGCAGCTCTTTCTCTAGACTCAGAGAAGCCTCCATGACATGCTGTATCTGAAGTCTAAGTGCATCTTCCCATGCATTATAACTAGAGTATGCTACGTTGGTGCGGATTGCCACATCAAACATTGTACTTGCATTCCCTGCTGCGATAGATGTCGAAGCATCTGAAAAATGTACAAAGAGACTGCCCCTATCTTCATAGGGCTGCTCTTTTTTCATGTAACCTTCCCCAGGCTCGACTCCCCCTACAGGCATGGCAAACAGACTTTCTACCTGAACTGGCTCCGTCAGAAGCGACGTGAGACCAAAGACGTGCCTGCCGCCGTTTGGGAGGGCGCGTGGTGAAGAAAGTTCAGCACACCAACGTAGCGACACAAGTTCCTCCGCTATACACATGAACGACTTAAATGAACTTAGCAAACTACTAAAGGAGATCGGCGGGTGAGCATTTTTGACATCGCTCACGTCATTGTTCTTTGCATACGATCTGCTGCTTTGAGGTTCGACCTGAATACCCCCACGAATATCTTCCACATGATGCGTATCTTTCCCACAAGTGATGCCCTCTGCCATGCTACCTAGAAACCTAATGAAGGGAGACGGCTCTGAAATCATGAAAATGGGGTTTCCCCTTAGTTTGATACGATAGTGTGTCCCCTCCGCAGTTGATTCACTATTTGCAATAGATCCGTATGTTAAGAGTGCGGTTACCTTTTAATTAAACACAGAGTAAGCGAGAGAGAGACACAAATAAAGAATACAGGAAATAGAGGGGCAAATATGAGAGTGAGCGAAGCCTAATATTGGAAAATATAGCAAATAGCATCATTTTTGACGTCAGATTTTGTCTTAAAGAATTCAAAAACGAAAAAAACCACAATATACAGAATAAAGGGTGAAAAATAAATAGATCCGAAATCGCCAGAGTTACGATTTGACTGACACAATGGTTAGCAAAAGCTAATTAAATGAAACTAACTAGGGCAAGCACTTCATTTTTTCAATCTCAAATTTTAATATGATACGCACAATAAGGATCTATTGTTCAGATACATATACAAATATATAGGAGATACTTTCTTTTTAAGATGAGCTTGTAACTCTTAGCAATTATGCAAGCCGCCATAATGACAATAAGGTCTGGAGGGCATATAAAGATCCAAGTGATAGTCACTGAGAAAGAATCAGCTTTGTCGCAGCCGTCATCTTTCTCCATAGATTTACGAGCGTAGCACCGCCTACTCTCCACATAAGAAAACAATGTGCCTCCAAAAACCTTAGAACCAATACTGCGTGAAAAGTAAGTATTACTGAATCCTCTATTATCAAATGTCAAGTGAAAAAAGCTGCACCACAGCAGCGGGAGCACACGGGCGAAGCGAAATCGCGGTCAAGATGCCATGCATACCGCTATGTGGTAAGATTTAAGCTCTCGAAAGTGAAGCTACCATCCTCTAACATAGCCGATGTATCGATGCAGCATAACGACATGCTGACGCGAGACAACTTAGTTTTGATGTGTGACAAGCTGATTATATCCGTGTAGCTGGAGCATGAATCAGATGGTGAGAGCATTCGTTCCTTGGTGTTACCTCTCGCGATACACCACATGAGAGCTGTGCGGGACAGACTGCAAGCACTCTCTACGGCGTATTCATGCTCTGTATATGCTGAAGGAAGAACCCATTAAGTGCGTTTCTTTCCTTTCCCGAGTGCTGATTTGAAGTAGTAAGTCTCTTGAACAACCCCTGATGCGTCAGGTCGAGCTCATTCTGTGCACCCCACCCCACCGATCCCACACTCTTCTGCTCCTCTCCGAGCCATCCGCGTGATATAGCAAAAGGATTGCTGGAGTATTATGAGGAAATGACTGACATTAATCCTGTTAATTAAGAATGAAGGGAAAAATATTCATCTAGTGACGCTTATTGGAAGATCTAGATATATCGGAAAATATCAAGTCCATGAGCGTTAAAGGTTATGACCGTGCAATGCAGTGTTCGCGCCCACAACGTAAAGGCAGCTCGCTGAAAGGACTGCGATTGCAACACATCATATTTCGCTAGTGATATCTTACCTTACTTGTGCCACCATTGGCTCTCAAATGTGTGCTTCTGAAGCTTATATCTTTGCTCAACTTGTGTGTCACTGACGAGAGGCGCGGTCACTCCTACGGTGTGATTTCTCACAGAGCAAGGTCCGCTAGTAGACCTTCGGAAGATGTTTCTACGTACTATATTTGTCTTGATTTCATGAAGGACCTTGTAAGACTCTGATACTTGCTTGGACATCGTCATCCACTGCTGTACCCAACTGCCTAAAATCCATTCTTCTGGTATATGAGTGTCTGAGACATCATACAAGATAAAATGTGATAGTCGAAGTTGTAAGAGATTCCTTTCATTCATAAACACAGAAGAATTAATATAGTTTTTATTAATCATGCGTTATATTCAGGAAGTAAATCTTGTGAAGAAGCCAATCCCGAAGAAGAAATTAATCTATTGGAAGCTTTTCTTCGTGCTTTCTTTATGTTTATTCCAAGGTTATATTAATCACAAAGGAAACCAAGATAACGTAGGAACGCCAGTCACCATGAAAGGTTTCATATTTTCTTTTCGTTAATTTGCACAGTATACAGAGGTAGAAGAGAAGAAATGAAAGCACACACAGACTTACAACGAGTATTTGTGTAAACACCATCTCATCGTATTGATTGATCAGAACAAGGGTAAACTAATTAAGCAAAAAGTTCTTCTAAATAAACACATATCAATATATACGAACACTTGTTTTTCAAATTATGAAATGAGTGAGATATGTTGAATACTAAATATTCAGGGCGGGATTTGAGAAACCAAAAAAATGTTTATTTGTACCATTCATAAGCTAAGAATTTCATGTGTAAATCTAATAAAGGCAAGCTCTCACACAAGGTGGGATTCAAAAAAAATATTACTAGAAAACTTACTTCCTGTGTGTCGGGAGGGGGGGAGCTAATGTGACAGGTAGAGTCAAAAGGCAAGAAAAAGGGCCCTTTTTACCTTCAAACAGAGGGTCGGCACCATGTATCTTTACGTAAATACAGATTTGAATGTCTAAATACCTT